ACCGCGCGCGAGAGAGAGAGAGAGAGAGAGAGAGAGAGAGAGAGAGAGAGAGAGAGAGAAAATGAAATAAAAATCTGATTTTTGATTTTACAAATACCCTTTTCGAGTTATTTACGATTTTGCCACCGAAGGAAATTTCATCGCCAAAATCTCGTTATAACTCCGATTCAAGCCTACCGCCTGTCCACGAATTCATCTCAGAACCACCTACGCAACCAAACCACTTGTGGTCCCAACATCCTTCCGGACAAGAAAATGACCGAAATGCCCTACCCCAAGGGTAGTTTCATAATTTCATATTTTAATTTAGTTTTTCCATTCGCATTGGAAATTAAACAGAGTCGGGGTGTTACACAATATGCCACGATCCTTTTGGGGCGAAGCCGTCATCTCTGCAGCATACCTTGTTAATCGAATTCCCTCTAGTATCCTAAATTTCCAAACACCACTTCAAACACTTCACCACCATATCCAAACACCTCCCACCCTAAACCTGGAACCCCGGATTTTCGGCTGTGTTGTATTTGTCCACTTACATGATCACCAACGAAGCAAATTAGATCCTCGAGCCGAGAACTGTGTTTTCATTGGCTATGCACCTCATCAGAAAGGATACCGATGTTATCATCCTCCTCCTCCTAGTTAGAAGGTCATTACCTCCATAGATGTTATGTTTCAGGAACATGACTTATATTTTTCAACAGCCTAGGAGGAGAATCGAGAATCTACCACTGCTCCAATTCTCGATTTTTTCCCTAGGACGTCACTTTGCATCAAAATGACCGGTCGTCCCTCTTAGTTCTTCAACTACAGAGAACCTGCTTCAAAACGACCGGTCGCCAGCAGATAGCGACCGGTCACCAAAGAAAAAAGATTAGTTGTCTCTACGTTGTCAAAATCAGAAAAAGAAAATTGAACCGTTTTATGAGATTTTGCCCACTTCAGCTTCAGTACCGCACCAATCACCTGTTGAGGAAGTCATTTAGGTATAGAGCCTACATATCAACTTTTAGAAAGGAAGAACCATGGCAAACCTCGAGTACAATATGAAGCAGATCTTAAAGTCAAAGGGAAATACCCCATCAATAATTATATATCTCTCAGCAGATTATCAGAGTCACATGTACACTATGTGAAGCAGTTGATTGACATATATGTCCCCAACAGTGTAACTGAAACACTAGAAGACCCAAAATAGAAAGAAGCTATGAATAAAGAAATATGAGCTTTCCAAAAGAATGCCATATGGGAACTCTCGTGCCCTTATCTCATGGAAAAAAGACAGTATGATACAGGTGGATTTATACTGTGAAACTCAAAGTAGATGGATTCATTGAAAGATATAAAGTTAGATTGGTGGCGAAGGGGTACACACAGAGATATGGGATAGACTACGAGGAGACTTTTGCCCTAGTAGCCAAGATTAACACTATTAGATTCCTATTGTCTTTAGCAGCAAATCTCGATTAGCCACTACATTAGTTTGATGTCAAAAATGCATTCTTACATGGAGACTTGGAAGAAAAAGTATATATGGACTTACCCCCAGGATGTAATTCAGCACATGACAAGAAAAATCAAGTTTGCAAGCTCAAAAAGTCATTATATGTGTTAAACCAAACTCCTAGGGCATGGTTTGGCAAATTTATTAAATCTACGAAGAATTTTGGATATATATAGAGTAATTCAGATCACACCCTGTTCTTGAAGCGTGATGAATGAAAACTTACTAGATAAATTGTTTATATAGATGACATAATCGTAACTAGAAAACGATGTAGAAGAGCAACTAAAGTTGCAAAAATATTTGTCTCAGGAATTTGAGATGAAGGATTTAGGTGATCTGAAGTACTTTCTCCAAATCGTAGTGGCAAGGTCAAAAACTAGTATATTTCTATCTCAAAGGAAGTATGTAATGGATCTACTCACTGAAACAGGAAATACTTTGATGTAAGCCTGCTGACACACCCATTGAGATGAATCACAAATTGTGTGAAGACATGGACCAAGAACCAACCAATAAGGAACAGTACCAACGCCTTGTTGGAAGGTTGATATATCTGGCACACACAAGACCAGACATTGCATATGTTGTGAGTGTGGTTAGTCAGTTTATGCATTCGCCCAGTGTTTCTCATAGGAATGCAGTTGATCGGATCTTAAGATACTTAAAGTCAGCCCTTGGGAAATGGTTAATGTTCTCAAAAAATGGAGATCTTGAAGTTGTTAGATATACATATGCTAATTGGGCTGGTTCCATTACAGATAGATGCTCTACTTCTGGTTACTTTACATTCGTGAGAGGTAACCTAGTCACTTAGCGGAGTAAAAAGCAAAATATGGTTTCTCGATCTAGTGCAGAAGCAAAGTATCGAGGAATGGCTCACTGAGTTTGTGAATTATTATGGATCAAAAAACTCTTGACAGAATTGGGCTTCAAGCCAGAAAAGCCAATGAAGTTGCATTGTAACAACAAGTCAGCTATCAATATTGCCCATAATCCAGTTCAACATGATCGAACCAAACATGTTGAAGTGGATAAACATTTTATCAAAGAAAAAATTGAGAAGAAGATCATCCGCCTACCATTCGTAAAATCAAAAGATCAACTGACATATATCTTAACAAAAGCTGTTTGTGGCAGAGTATTTCATGACTCACTTACCAACTTGAAGAGAAGTGTTGACGTGAGTCTCCTAATTAACAAGGAGATTTATTTCCTTGATTAATTAAGGAATTTACTTTCCTATTCTATATAGTTGAAAAATCATTGTATAATTAGGAGATACTATCATAATTGATTACTGTATCTATTTCCTTGTAAAGCACTCATGTAAACTCCTATAAATCCCCTTATGGAGAAGAATAAAACCTAACCCAAAAATATTTAAACTATATTCATATTTTAGCACTTCCAAAATCACAACATTTAAGTATTTTGGGTGAACTAAGTTGTGTTTGATGTTTGAAAACGTGCTATATTTTCAAGCAATTGATTCTTCGATTGTATAGAAAATACTTCCACATGCAAAGAACTGGTCCCGTGTAATTTACATTTTTTTATGGAAATGATAGTTTTATTTCAATTAGTCTATCGCACTTTTGACATTTAAAAGGTATAAACTAAATGGTAAAATGATGAATAAATAAAATATTTTAATACGATAATATGGTATTTCTGTACACGTTCTTGCATGCACATGATGCAATATATATATATATTTTAATTTTTTAAAAAGGTATGCTGATTTATTTTAAAAATAAAACATGCAAGAAAAAAAATAAAATTAGCAGATAAAAATAAGATTGTCACAACAAATTAAATAAATAAATAACATCATCATAGACCTTGCTGGAGTTGGTCTTGGCGGATGCTTGATTAGAACATAATTTTAGGTTGGTCTTGGCGGATGCTTGATTAGAACATAATTTTAGGTTGATCCCATTAAAACTAATTGGCATCATCATAGATATTGTCTCACTATAATGACATATCGTAAGTGTGTACTCACAATAATCGGATTTAATAATAACCTCGTGTCGTGAGTTTCGAGAATTATATAAAGGACCCATTTGATAAGTGGTAAACTATTTATCACAGTAGTTTTAATAACAACATGAAAATAAAATGTGACTTTGTAAAATAATACAAGACGCCTTTGGATGTTGTTTTCTTCGCTTAGGTTAGGAAATTGCTTGTTTCTAACTACCTCAGTTTCCTTCCATCAAATTAGGTAATTAATCGATTTATTAATTTTCTTATGAGATTAGAGGGACTTGTTCTTAGATTTTGATGGGCCTCGAGCCTGACTTATTAGGTTGCGTTCTAGTGTGTACTAAAGAGAAATATTACAAAACTAATTACTAGAGATCTCAAGTTCGAATCTATTTTCCCGTTAATAAAAAAGATATTACACAAAATATATAAACCATTAAAAGAAAGGAAGTCGCATATTGTTTTTTTTTTTCTTTCCAAATTCTAATGATTCCAAATGTCGGGTTTTAGCAGTCCACCACAACTTTTCCTTTTTGACTTAAGGTGGTGACTAATTATTTGCCTTTGGAAGGTTTGATGCATTAATAGGGAATCAATTTTTGAACTTTTCACCATGTTTTCGTGACTCATCATCATCAGCATGGTGCGTTTTATTGTTTGGTGGTTGAAAATTTCTCTACACATTAGATCATTGATTAAAGTGATCTGTATTGATCAATGACTTCATTATCGCTTGTCAATCAAAACTAAAAAGAAATGATCATTTAAGAATCTTTGCATATATACACTTTGATGTCCATGGATTAACAATGTCTTACGACCACCATGAACTACAACTTTTTTTTTTTTTTTTGGGCTTACTAATTGAATATAAAGAAAAGAAAAAGTATATATTCCTATTTGTTTGTTTGTTTGTTTGTTTTTTCCCAATTGAATTATAACTTTCTCCTATGGTGGCAGGCAAGGGGTGATGGCAAACTTCGTGAAGCTTCTTCCCCTATCTTGAAAAACCTTTGTCACCAAAACTGCAACTAAAAATACCATGAAAATGGCTAGGGATAGCATGGAGGCCCATAGCAATCTCAATGCAGTCTTAAATGGCCTGCAATGTTGTGAAACCACATCGGAAATTCCATCCTTGACGAAGGAGCATTCTGATAAGCTCAGCAAAGTTGGATATATGTCTAGAAAATCTTGGACAGAGTGGCTGTAAGCCCAGGCCATGTTGTAGGAGGCTCGGGAGATCAGTTTTCCATTTTTTCTGCATGTTTCCATGTCGTTTAGGTAACAAGTGATTCCTGAAATGGCCTACACATATGAATTTTCAATCTAAGTAAATGTTGCAACAGTCAAAGTTCAGGTAACAATTAAAGGTTAAAAAAATCCTTTCATATAAATAATAACGAGATAGAAAACTGACTAGTTTTGAACTTGAAAAGACAAAAATAATAAGGTCAATATATGAGTTGACATCGTTTTACTAATAAACTCATGTTATAACATGTGTATATTATTATAATTATATTCTAACGTAAAAACTCATAGCCCATCACATATTATAATCCGGTGTATTAGTAGCACCATATCGGCATACAATACTGTTGAAGTCACACATATTTCTCCAAGATTCGAGTAAGTCTAATCTCATCTTAACCCTTCAACTCGATCCCGCACAAGTTTGCTTGTTAAATCTTTTTTTGAAAATTGTTAGTTTTCTTATGTACTTATGCCAATGGGTAAATCTACTTACTTCTGGTAATTTTCCAACTGGGATGGCATCTGAGCAACTACTGGGTATGTAGCTGTAGTTAGGTGGCCCGGAGAAAGGATTGCATATACGCAGAAGTCCAACCAAATCATCATTTTGCTCGTCTATTCCAAGCGAATTGGCAATTTCTGTTACTTTAGAATTCAACTGCAACACAAAGAAATTAATCACCTCTCATTAAAAATAATCAAATACATAATAAAAATAAATTGTTAGTATGTTGATTATAATTGCTTTGACTAATATATAATATACCTGATTTATGAAACTGTGTATAGTGTAGCCAATTTGACCCATCAGCTTCTCTGAGCGCTCAGGATCTAAGCATGGTAGGATCGAGCTTAGACTACTGTTGTGGCTGTTTTGTTGAAAATCTTCCAAAGCTGAACATGTATCTTTTGCAAAACTGTGGAGCAACAAAAAATTTGAGAAAAATTCACATACTGGAATACACATGTCATGTGGGGTTTAGGGTTTAGAGACCATACTTGAATTCTTTCTAAAATGAGAAAATAAGGACAAGGGAAATTGTTACTCACTTGTGAAGGAAGAAATCGAAGCCAGTCAAAACCCAAATTAGAGTTGTTAATATCCAGCAAAGAAAGATTACACTGAAAAGAAAGAAACAAGAAAGTCCATGTAGCATAGTCCAATAAAGAATTAACAAGAAGAGCAAGAAGGCTGAAAAGAAATCTTACACAACAAGTCCTGGGTACCAATGCAGCAAGAGGAGAACTGACCAAAGCAGCAATTCATCATTAGCTATATATATAAAAAGCAAGAAAAATCATAACAAAAGAAAATTTACCTAATGCTGAAACCAACAACACCAAGTTTACAGCTACAACCACAAGATGTACCACGTATCTAGAACACACAAAAAGCAGAATATCTTAAATATAGCCTTAGTAAAATTTTCGATTTAGAAATGTTAATCAAAATTTAGTATAGTAGCGCTCGGCTGTTAGAGGATGTACGTTTCGAATTCAAATGTTATAGACGAGTTGTTGAATGCTAAAAAATACGGGAGAATATTACTTACGGGGTTTGAAGAACTCGATCAATTGTACGCCCATTTTTGTCCAAAAATAGTTGAATATTTTGTGAGTCTTTTCCAAGTTGGCGGGATGTCACGTTAAAGCTCATAACCAAGGCTGGATCATAAGGCAGCAAAAGGTATTGCATATGTCGCATTGCGTTTGTTACTTTTCTGATGGTTCTCCGAGCATTTTGAGCCTGGCTCAATATGGCTCCCTTCAATTTATCCGTTGTCTTCATAGATCTTTGGTTTTCTGCCAGCGCCAAACTTGATGCAACTCTTCAATTTAACAACCAAGTATGTATGTTAGATAGATGTCCTCTGTCTAAATCAATAAATTTACTTATTTATTACAAAGACATTGTCCTTTGAGACTCTAATTGGAGATGTACAAGGTTGCTACGTGGTAAGTGGCAAAATCAAGTTTAAATATGGCATGATGTTCTGTTGGTGACTGTCAAAACAATCCAATTAAAATATTATATGTGTTTAATGTTAATGAGTACTTTTTATTTATTATGCGCATGTCACCTTTTAAAACTAGACCTCCGTGTGACAAGAACAACTCTACGAAAGTAAATGTATAAATTTTTGCTTAAATTGTTTGACTCAATTTTGTCAAATCGTGGAACCAAATAGGCCCATGGCTTTATAAAAAAAATAAAAAAATAATAATAAAAAAAAGGGTTGGACCGGACCATTAGACCTACAATCATGCATGAAATGAAAAAATTGAAATTGACAGTGATGCACTTACATGGCTAGAATTGTAAAGAGAAGGGCGAGCATGAAGATGAAGATGAAGTGACGGTCCAAGAAGTCTTTAATGGGGCAAGAACTCCTAATGCTGGAATTCTTCAAGAAGGCTATGCAAATCATAAATACAAGCCCACATATCAACCAAACTGCCGCAATTACATATCCATGCACTCCTGTAAATGCCGCAGACTGGAAAATATGAGAAAAACACGCAATAAGAAATCCCATTTTCTTTACAACTTCAATATTCCTCTTTTTTTCATTTTCTTTACTAGAAACCCCCCCGAATTCTATATACATATATATGAGGTGATGTTCTCTTGTTAAACAATCAAACATATTATATTATCAGATTGTTAATCTTTCATCCCAAAAAAAAAAAAATTTCAGATTGTTAATCTATTTATCAAGATTACTACGAATAATGATCGATGCTAGCTAGACTAAATATCTAAGAGAACATTATTGATCGAGTATAATTAATTAAGAAGGATGATGGGTAGGAACTTACAGCCCAGTAATGCTTGTTTTTCAAATCGTAGCCTCCATTGTAAGACTTTAAGTGGCGCAAAGGATCGGGTCTCTTGAAGCTGCTCTGCTCCCCAAACACAACCCATGTTGGTGAAAACACAGAAGTTGAAACCAAGAACACAACAAAGGGTACAAGAACTCCATTATTGGAGATAAACATGACCCAAAAAAAATTAATAAGCTGGTCTAATTAAATTTGGTGCAAGATGAAATGGATTAAAAAAAAAATACAAAACGATCTTGCCTCCGATCATATGAATTGAAATTAAATCTTTTTGGTAGCTTTTAGAGAGAGAAAGGTGGTGTTATGTTGGTGTGACTTAGTGAGTAAGGTAAGAATAGCTTGTGGCCATGGTTTTTGCGGAAAAAGAACAAATGTGTTAGCAAGAGAGGGAGGTAACGAATCATGAGGCGATATTTATGGTTCTTTAGAGTAGAGAAAATTGACCATCTTTTAAGTGCTTCAATTTTTTCATGTCTATCTTTCTGCCTAAGCCTCTCTTTTCGCAAAGAATGACTTCTAGATAGAGGGACTTGGCCTTTTATGCTCTTTTTTTTTTCCTCTTTGCATTTGCATGTTTACAAATTACATGTTTCCCATGCAAATTTCTTGGGTGTGGCAGAACGTTATTGGTGAAGTTAGTTTAAATATGATAAAAGGACCTACATGGGCTATCATAAATTTTTAAAAAGAGAACTTTTAGATGGTCTTACCATTGATCGTTTTTAGAAGCAGACGTGAGTTAGGTCAGTTGTCCAGGATAAGGAGTCCACCCCTTTTATCCCAAAAAAAAAAAGAAAAAAAAAGAGTGTACGTGGACTAAATGAAAAATATGGGCCCCTTGAAGTAATCCTCATCCCAAAGGAATAAGGCAATGCCTTGGTTTGGTGGGTTAAGTTATCAACTCAAGGGTACAAGTTAGACGTATGGCAGGGTTTAGGGTATGAATTGTTGAAGGGGCCGCCGCATGAGTATGTCAAGTGACATGGTCGTGTTATGGTAAAGTATCTGATCCATCAATCAAACATGGCATGGCATGAGCACAAAATAAATGGACCTGAGACACCGAGAAAACTTGAGTACATTAATATCTCATAAAACATGAACAATTTACATGTGGTTCAATATCACACAAGAGTACTGCAGGCATAAAGAGCACTCACAAACCCAATTATCACCCGAAAGAGTAAACAATAAAACAAAGAGGATAAATTTGGCTCACTATGCTTGGTTGGTTTGGTGGAACATTCTCACTCGCAGAAAAAGGGAAAGCTTCCTTTTTGTGTACGAGAAGGTTGGTTATCTTGTCATTTTCCTGAAAGACGGATCTTCCCTTGGAATTTTACACAACAATGGTCTTCGACTCTTCGCTCTTTAAAGGTATGACGCAGTTAGCGATGTCACCATTAGGCAAGCCAATTCCTTCCTTGGTCATCAGAATTCAGAAGTGTCGATAAATCTGCGCCTTCTTTCTTTTTGGTTTTGGTAAGTTTATGAGCACAATGAGCTTTCAATCTGTGAGGTGAATGTGTTCCTAAGGCAATACTGGACCACAAGTCAGTGATAAATACATGCACTTGGAATTATGGATTGGTTAGCTTTCAGTTCAATGTCTAACTGGTTATTGAAAGGCCTTTGCTTGAATTCTGAGTTTTGCTTTTAGGAACTCCACTTAAAGTGCATAAAATTGAGATAAAGGGTCAGGTCCAAACCATATAAAGAAGTAATATGCATAATGAGGATAAATAGGTAAATATGGTTTGTTGTGAGTCGTTGATGCATTGTGAGATTCACTTACAACTGCCATAATCACGTTGACAATTGTCCTTAACATTTTTCTACCGACATATAACGTGATGAAGATAAGGAAGCATTAAATTTAAGCATTGGGATAGAAAGCACTTAGCTCATTATTTTGGCTTTTAATAAGATCCATGAATTTGGAATTATAGTTTGGCTTTTAATAAATTTCATGTATTTGGAATACTAAGAGTTATCAATGTATCTAGATTAAGGAGGTTCATTAATTTGAGTGCTAGTTCAACGTAGGAGATGAGACATTAAGACTTTAAATACTTGTATGCATAGACTTCTCAAATTAATTGTTGTTGAGAATTGAAATTGAAATTAAAGAGAGTGTTCTCTCATCTTTTGCTCATAATGTGGGTTTGAGTGTTTCTTTGTCTTTTTGCTTAGTTCTAGGTATTCTGAGACTAGACGGGACTTGGTGGTTTGTGGTTCATGTTTTGGGACTTGGTGGTTTGTGGTTCGTGTTTTCCAACATCCTTTTGCTCGAGTACTGCTGCGTCATAACTCTTCCAAGATGCTCAGTTATATGCACCTCTCATTTTCCTCACTCCTGCTATGCCAGCACTAGTTATATGATTCTGTTCACAATGGCTGTTGATAACCCCCAAAACTACTAAATCAGTCATCAAATTTGTAATTCCTTTTAATTAGATCAACTAATCAAATGATCATGCACATCAAATATCTGTATGTATTTGGTTCGTTTATTCAAGAAGTGCTTTTCTAACAGCACACATGCCTCAAAAGGTGGACAGGTTGAACCCAATGTCTCCACCTTATCTTTTACTCTTCAGTGAAAGCCTTTCATCTAATATTCCTTGAGGCAGGTCAACTAGTCAATGTGAAAGCAGTTTTCAGCATTGACATGTTGATCTTGTTCATTGTTATAACCTGTGGTGCCGGTGGGACATTAACCGCCATCGACAACTTGGGTCAGATTGGGAGCTCATTAGGCCTACCCAACTCATAGCATAAGCACTTTTATATCCCTGGTGAGCATCTGGAATTACCTTGGAAGAGTTACATCTGGCTTCTCTTCAGAAGTGCTTTTGAAAAAGTACAAGTTCCCTCGTCCCCTTCTGCTTACTCTTGAGCTTTTTTTATCATGCGTTGGCCATCTTCTAATCGCCTTCGGCATCCCCAACTGTCTCTACTTTGCTTCTGTGATTATTGGGTTCTGTTTTGGGGCACAATGGCCATTGTTTTTTGCCATCGTATCAGAAATCTTTGGCCTCAAATACTGTTCACTTTGATCAATGTTGGTGGTGCTGCTAGCCTTATTGGGGCTTATCTTCTGAATGTCAAAGTGGCTGGTAATTTATATGATGCAGATGCCTTGAAGCAGTTGGAAGCTTTGGGTAGGGTTAGGAAAGCAGTGGAGGACTTGACTTGTGAAGGAGTCAATTGTTACAAATTGGCCTTCATTATACTGCAGTGGCTTTGTTTGGAAGCCTTGTTTAAATTATTTTGGTGATTAGGACAAGGAGATTTGATAGAGGTGATATTTACAAAAAATTCGGAGAGGCAGCTGAATCTGATGTAGCTGCTTCAAGTGGCACAGTTCCTTTGACAGAAATAGAGGCCAACGCAGCTGTTGCTGCTCACAGTTCAACCTCCTCAGCAGCAGCACCACAAGGATCAGAGACCAACTTAGGGTAGGGAAAACAATGAGGTAGCTAATTGATTGCTCTGTGAGTGGATGATTGTTTGTTACCATAATTGCTCAGAATATTCTTGTAATTTTCTATGGAAATCATTTACAAAGGAAAAATCTTGATCTCTCTGTTATATTTCAGCAAATATTTGTTTCTTTTTCTTCAAACCTGATCATTCAGATCATCAATATATTTTTAAGTGACAGAGTAATTACCTTTCACCGACAGTCATTTTACAGTTTGACTACCATGTACTACATAAAACGGAATGCTGGGTTAATTGGAAAATACTTGCCTCCTCCAGGTTAGGGATGACAAGGAGTTGAATCGGGGTATCGGTGGGTATGTCATTCTCATCCCCATCCTCATTAAGCTTTTTTCATCCATCCCTGCCTTCATACCCTCAATATTCATATTGTGAATTCTTCATCCCCATCTTCTTTGGGGAATGGATTTCCCAACCCGCCCCATTATAGAAGAAAAAACTAATATAAAAAACTACTTGGTTGAAAGAAAAAAATATAGGATTAGAGCAAGATAATGAATATATATAATAAATACATATAAAACAATATAAGAATGTTTGCATATTGACTAGAACTTAACTAAATATTAAGTAGTGTGGCTTAAGATTCATATAAACTATATAAATATATAATATAATAATAGGAAATATAAAATTTAGTTTGCACAATCACTTTCATATCATATTTGTACATACTATAATATATATATATATATATATTCTAAATGGGGAGGGTTTGAGTCGGGGATTAAAACACCATCCCGCCACTCCCCCCAACCCCCCCAAACACCATACCCAAAAAAATTCCCCGTACCATCCCCATACCCATTTTTTATCCTTCATACCCAACCCATTAAAGTCGAATTCCCGCAAAGATCCTTACCAGCGGGGAAAATTGCCATCCCTAATCCGGGTTAATTGATTAGCAGAAAAATTGTGATTTTTGGGGGTGATAGATAGGTGTACGTGAATCCGTCCCATTTGTGTAGCAAAAATTTTGTGTAGCCTATGCAACCCACAACATAAATCCGTCCCTAGTCATGGGGTTCAAACCTGAGATTACTGGCCTGTAAATCAAGACTAACTTACTTATATTCTGAATTTCAAATACCACTTTGGACCATTGCAAGCATTAAATATATTTGAATGAAAATGAAGGATATTATAAGAAAATTGAACAAATTTTAATTCAAACATTGTGCAAACTAAATAAGGGAATGAGAATCCTATTTTCCGGCATTCTAGACATGGAAATGAAAATCTTCCATTCTTATCTCTTCAAATTAGATATGAGAATTTTATTTCCAAAAAATTCATTATGTGAATCAAACATGCCGTTATAGATGGTTTCACCAAATTTTTATTGAGATATGATATGAGTTTTTTCTATGTTCGGTAGCAGTTTGGCTTGTTTTATTGAGCCATTGTTTCCCTACTTTTGTGGTGGGCTTCTGCTTGAACAAAATTCAGTTTTTATCAACCTTATCTATTATCAACCAACTTCTAGTTTAGTGTTACTTTTCTTTCAAATATTGAAAAAGTCATAAATTTGAATCGTCGACCCTTGATAATAAAACAACATTCTAACTTATGCATCATATATTCGTTCGATTGTCTCCTTTTTTATGTGATGATTTCAGATCTATTTTATTAATGAAGTTTTCAATTGCAAACAAAAATGAAAAGAAAAAAAGAAGAAGAAGAAAAATTGGCAGCTGTATTAAATGGAAAATAACACTGACAGCAACTATATGGCCTGGATGATGAATGACGCAGCAAAGGTCCAAATGATACAAATTACCATTCTTAGAGTCGCAACTATTAATCCTAAAACCTAACACATACATGACAACTGAACCGGGTGGCCTCATTTGCCTTTCTCTGCCACTCGAAACTTCCTCCACATCGGGCCGCGCATGTATAACAACAGTCATATGCGGCTTCATAAACTCTACATCCACTTTCAGACCAAAAAAAACTCTACATCCACTAATATTTCGCCACGTCAAACCAAGCCACCTTCCCATTGGCCCGTATTATTCACTCGCAACTACCGACAGCACGGTTAGTAAAACCCTTCTAAAACAGTGGAATCTTCATCTGATTGGTCCTCGTAACCGGCACGTACGGCCATCGATAGGCCAGTCTTAAATCAATCTCGGCCGTCTGTACAATCGGGTCCCACTTCATATCTGGACGGCCAAGATCTCACTGGACACTTAGACAAGCGAATTCTCACTCATTGGGGTACCGGGTAGAATTAAATTTGGAATTCAGATAAAAAACAAAGACAGAGGGGACAGAGCAATCATATAATTTGTATTTATGAAAAGTGGGATTGGTAGGAAGGAAGGAAAACCAAAGCAGGGAGGGAAAGCTTCCCAATAATATAAAGGCTGAGTGTGTGTGTTTATAGATCGATCTCTCTCTCTCTCTCTCTCTCTCTCAGTCTATTATCTCTCCGCGCGAAATCAAAGATTCATCATTAATGGGTTTGTGGGAAGCTTTTCTCAACTGGCTCCGTAGGTTAGCTCCTCCATCTCTTTCTTCAATTCTCAATCTTTTTGGGTTGTTATGTGATCCAGTTTTCATACATTTGTCTCGGGAATTTGGGACTTTGCTCTAGCTTATCCTTATGCTTTGGGTTTTAAAGTAGCAATTTTGAATGAAACTTTGATTTCAATTTGTTAATTTATTTGGCTTGAATGCTTATTGGCTTTGGTTTTTGTAAAGGGATGATGGGAAAGGAAACCCGAAAGAAAGAAGCTGAAAATTGGCTCCTTTTGCTCCTTTTTAGTTTTTACCAAGCCTTTTGTTTTTTCCCCCTCTGGAATTCTGTCAATGTCTTTTTGTTTGATAACCAAACGGATATTTGAAAAGTTTTTACTTGTGGGTTTGCTTCCCTTTTGCTATTTCTGCTCAGAATTTTCTCTTTTGATACTGTAGATTCTGGATTGTGTCTTTTGGCTAGGAGCCTAGGAATGATTGCTGTTTATTTGTATGTATGTATGTATGTATGTATGTATGTATGTATATATATATATATATATATATTTTGCCTTGGTTTGAATTACAGAGCTGAATTAGGCACCAAGTTTTGTAGATATATGCTTGAAGCATCGTGATGGTTGTTGTAGAGGCTGTTAATGTGCTTTATGCTGCTTTTTGGCATTGAGGCAATTATAGTTTCCAGAATTTGAGATGGATACTTGAATTTAGCTGCTAAAGGATTGGTATAGGGAAACGACAGTTGGATTTCTGATGTTGCAGAATGATAGAAATTAGAGCTTTTTTGGATTTAGCAATATCATGTGCTATGCTTGATAAGTATAAAACTCTCTCTCTCCGTATATATATACCCTTTTGTGCTATTATGGATAAATTTCTGGCAACATTGTGTGTTCTATATTTAAATTTGTTTGTCTTACCTCAATGTATCAGTGATTTACACTGCCTACACTTACGTTATTGCATGTGATTACAGCCTCTTTTTCAAGCAGGAAATGGAGCTATCTTTGATAGGACTTCAGAATGCTGGAAAGACCTCTCTTGTAAATGTTGTTGCAGTAAGTAAATAAGCACAATTACTTTGGATTAATGTTTCTTTCCTAGTTGTCTACTTGTTTGGGCTGATGTGTTGAAAAATGGATTTTTGTTCTTAGACGGGCGGATACAGCGAAGACATGATTCCTACGGTGAGTAATGTTTTCAAAAGAAGAGTAATTGCAGTTAAACAATGTTCTATCACCAGATGCTTGTACCACTTATGAATAGCTTCTATGATTAATTGAATTAATTATTGACAGTGTGGTCATGCAATTCAATTTTCAGGTAGGATTCAATATGAAGAAGGTAACCAAAGGTAATGTTACGATAAAGTTGTGGGATCTTGGAGGTCAACCCAGGTTCCGTAGCATGTGGGAGCGATACTGTCGTGCCGTTTCTGCTATAGTGTATGAACCAATTTCCCATCTCAATTGACTTTACTTTTGGAGAACTCTCTAAATGAGCATAAACTTTATTTGTGGAAAAAATTACCAAATCAAAAGATTGATGATGGGATGGCCTTTTCGTGTTTGTGTTAAAATTGTATACCTCGTCCTCAAACCTTTATTTTCTTATAAGCTGATGTTCTCTTTTGTGTTACCAGTTCGGATTGCTTGTTTAGTACGCTAGATGTCTCATTTAGTAATGTCAAGCATGAGCAGTGATGCGATGATAAGGAAGTCACAAATATCTGTTGGGAATTGTGGGCTTAAACTGATTTGTCACTAGTTATGAGTTTCAATGGGTTGCTTTCTTTGTTGCTGCTGCCGTGCTTCCCCCCTTCCCCCGTGCCTCCTCCTTTCTCATGCTTAAACATTGCCTCTCCTGCATTGTTTGCTTGCTTGTAACTGCTGTGTACTATTTAATCTTTTCTTGCGTTTGTCAAAACCTTTAGCTGATAGTCTAATGTTCTGGTTAATGGCCCCATGTTTGTCGATAGTTCAAGTGTCAAAGACTCAAAACAATACATTGACTAATGATTCAGTTGAATTGATCCTAGTATTATGAAGACTAAAAGTTTTCCAACCTCTTGTTTGCTGCAGTTATGTTGTTGATGCTGCGGATCCAGATAACTTGAGCGTCTCAAAAAGTGAACTTCATGATTTGCTGAGCAAAAGCTCACTAAGCGGGATCCCGTTGCTGGTCCTGGGCAACAAGATTGACAAGCCGGGGGCTCTGAGTAAACAGGCTTTGACTGATGAAATGTAAGGCACATTATGCTTTTGTTATTGAAACCTTTTTCACTAAACTTATTTGCAGCATGTATTTTCGTATACCTCCTGATCAAAAATGAAAAAGAAGACATGTTTTGTTACTGATTATGGAATTGTGCCGTGCAGGGGACTGAAGTCAATTACTGATAGAGAAGTTTGCTGCTTCATGATCTCATGCAAGAACTCAACCAACATTGACTCAGTTATCGATTGGCTTGTAAAGCATTCCAAATCAAAAAGCTGAGAGGGTTTTTCTTCTTCTTTTTTTGGTCTGAAAGCTGAGAGGGTTTGCTTCTCTGCTTTTGATCTGTGTGTGATATAATTATTTTTATAAAGGATTCATGTATGGATTGGTTGTTGGTGGTGGGCTTCAACTTGTCTAACTTGGTTACTGATTATTTTTGTTGTTGTACTCTATATTTTACTGTATCATTTCTAATTGCAGACTCTGGGGTTGTTTTGGTGCTCTTAGTCTCCCCTCCTCCCCCCAGGCATCTGCCTTCATTCACATATTGGAATTCATGGAAGTTTGAGACTAGCATTTTCATTTATGCGTGGTGAAAGTCAAACCGCACCATGTGCATCAATGAGGGGATTTTATTTTTTATTGAAATTGCCAGAGTTATATTGTAATTTGTATTCTGCTGTCTATGACTGCTTGAATAGTTTAGAGATACAAGGGAAAACCAGCTACAAATGATGTATATTAATAAAACATTACAGAAGCTATTTCCTTGAGTAGGACTTGAAAAATTAAAACTGAATTGCTTTTCTGTTTTCATCTGTGAGTATATTTACCCTCCAAAAAAGTATCTTATGTTTATATGGCTCAGTTGCACTAAGTCAAATAGGTGAACAATTCAAACGCGGTGAACAAATCAAACGTTTAATATAAAATTAAGTAGAGAGACACAATATATTATGTAGCAGTGAACATGTGTTAGGTTAGTTGGCTATGATAAGATTCAGATTTAATTATCTCCTACATTAAAATAGTTTAGAATATCGCTTTGCTAGAAAAATAAACAATAAAAAATATTTAGTGTACGACCATTAACTCACAATGTGGATCATTTCTACTACAAGTTCTTGTGGCGTGGTTATTGTTTTGCTCCTCGAATTATGATTCGAATTTCAATTTAGGTATCCAAAAACTCTCCGTTTAAGCCACGTTAGTCAACTCCGTTAAAGAATCCGTTTGAGCCTGGTGATGTGGCATGATGGACTCATTTGTTTGCTGACATGTAAGCCAAGTTGGCGCCATGTTGTATAAACGGTCAAAAAGCACCAGTGCTGTCCAAACCGCTCACAAAAACCTTAGCGCCTAAACGCTCACAACTCGCTACACTTTCACAGAGTCACAACTTCAGCCATGGAAGCTCTGCAAGGATCCCTCCCTCAACTCCCTCATACCAAATTCGAACCAGACACTGATAAAATCAAACGCAGGCTCAACAATGGAGGCATCTACCCAACTCCCAAGATAGTCCACACCATCCGCAAGAAAGAAATTCAAAAGCACAACCGCAAGCTCAATCGCCTCGCAAAGGCCGACCCGTCGTCCCCACCTCTCTCTCTGTCCCAAAAACAAGCCTTGGCGGACGAAACCCATTTCCAAACTCTCAAGCGCGAGTACAGGCACTTCACCAAAGCGGTCAAAGCGAAGACTGGTGACGGTGAATCCATGGTTGGGCGGCCATGGGAGGGGATTGAGAGAATTGGGTTCCGAGAGCTTGCGAGTACGAGTGCAGAGTATGGTGGAGGGAAGCTGAAGAAGGAGGAGCTGAAAGCATTGAGGGAAATGTTCGAGGCTCGGAAGCTTGAGGACTTGAAATGGGTCTTGGATGATGATATTGAGCTGACAGAAGACTGGTTGGATGGTGAAAATAGGGTCTGGGACCCGGCTAAGCGGAGGAGACGCGGCGAGGGCGAGGTGATTCAGTTTCTTGTTGACAGGTTTGTATTGGGATTTTGGTTTTAGATGGATTGGTATTGGTTTTAGAAGGCTGTACTATTAAGTTGGGGATTTTTTTTTTTTTTTTTTTGGTTGGTGGGGGGGGTGGGGGGGGTTTTCTGGTGCAGACTTAGTGCTACAGAGTTTTCCATGAAGGACTGGAAGCTTTCAAAAATGATGAAACAATCAGGGTTGCAGTTCACTGAGGGTCAGATGCTTAAGATTCTTGGAGGGCTCGGTGCTAAGGGATGTTGGAAACATTCGTTGGCTGTTGTGGAATGGGTATACAATGATAAGGGCAATAAACATTGCAAAAGCAGGTATTTTTATGTGGTGAAAACCTTGGTTATATGTTTCAAGCACTATTAAAATGTTTCCATTTGGGAGTTTGGCAAATGTCACCCAAATTGGACTACTAAAGGGTCTTCGAATTTCTAAAAAATGAATAGTGGAAAGAAACTTGATTATCATACTTGCCAATTATGTCATTCAACATGTCAAAGTTTTTTTTTGCCATTGTTTCTGGCATTTCTTTGATTCCAAAGCAAATATTTCTCTTGGCCCAGAGCCACATTGAGAAGCAAAGCTGCTACTGAATAAGGTTTGGCAGTGGGATTTCACCTGTTATCCAATCCACTCACGCAAACAATAAACTTCATTGTTTTTATTCAGACACAAACTCAACATAAGATTAGAGTACTCTCAAGTGGGTTTTTCATGGTTTGGTATAACTTTGATGATTCTATAATTATATATTGGATAGGATGAGATGCAATGATGTAGTGCTTTTGATATAGGCAACAACTATTGGCCCGTGAACTATACCAACAAAGCTTCCATAATCTGTTTTCTAGACTTTTTTTTTAAAACTTTGTTTTTTTATTAATGTGCATATTGGTGTGTGACTCGATGTAATGCTATTGACTCGGTTACAATTCTAGACAAACCTATTGAAACTACTCTTTTTCATCTTGTTGACAAATTGATGCATGTTGTAGGTTTGTTTACACAAAACTTTTGGCAATTCTTGGGAAGGCACGAAGGCCCCAGGAAGCTGTTCACATTTTCAATCTGATGCTTGTGATGTCTTGTTCTTTTGTAACCTTATATTTTCAAATCCTCCTTGATAGTTTATACATTTTTTGTTGGATAAATTCTTACAACCATTTCATTCAGGGAGATTTCCACATATACCCTGATGCTGCTGCCTACCATAGCATTACGGTTACACTTGGTCAAACTGGTCTTCTGAAGGAATTGTTGAAAATTATTGAAAGCATGAGACAGAGACCTTTCAGAAGCAATAAAAATATGTTCCCCAAGAACTGGGACCCTGTCATTGAACCCGATGTCATTGTGTATAATGCTGTAAGAGAGTATTTTTGTGTATTTCAATTGTCATTCCTTGTTATACTTTAATCCGCACGTTGATGCAATTCTATTTCTCTTTCAAATTGGTTGCCAGCTACTGAATGCTTGTGCTCAGTCCCATCAGTGGAAGGGTGTATCCTGGGTGTTTAACCAGTTGAGAAAGAGTGGTCTGAAACCTAATGGAGCAACCTATGGACTTGCTATGGAGGTAATAACCTGGATTGCAACATGTCTTAACACATAATAGTCCGAACATAGGTCCTTGTTGTTATGACTTTCGTGAATATATAAATACAATATGATTCAGAGGTTCAAACCATGAAAATATATTAAACATTAAAACTTCAGTCTTGTATTTAAAATACTTGTATTACCTCTCAGTTATACTGCTAGTAAAATATATGTATTACTCTAAACCTTAAACTAAGTGGTCAAATCCAGATCCTTGTTTTGAATTCACACATCCAAATGCAATCTAAAAGGGTAATATATGGTGTAAACTAAAATAAGTAATCATGAAAGAACTATATACTGATGTATCATTTTAATTTAAAATTAAGATTCCGTTGTGCCTTTGGAATTACATGCTATGAGGAGCTTGGGATCCTCAACCTGAACTTTATCCCAAAAATAACTAGGGTCAGCTATATGAATCCTACTTCAAGAAGCTTAGTCTCCTCTGCCACTAGGATCTGTCCAAAGTCATACACTACCTCTCTAGTTATCATACCCTTGCTACCAATGCAGTCTTCTCTGTTGGACCATCCTTGAGTCTCCGATGCACATAACTAAATCATCTCCAGATTGCTTTCTGGATCTTTGGTCTTATTTACCCACCTTTGAACAGATATTTTTCAAATCTCAATTCTCATCTTATCCTTTTTCTTTTGAAAAATAATTAATCTTTTTTTTGTCTCTCTAGTATTGCCACACATGTATCTTTGTGTCCTCAAATGATATTTGTATTCGACTCTAACATTAGGTGCTTCTTGTTGAAGGTAATGCTGCAATCTGGAAAGTATGACCTTGTGCACGAGCTCTTCAGGAAAATGAAAAACAGCGGTGAAGCTCCAAAAGCTCTTAACTACAAAGGTAGTTATGTTAGTATCTCATCCCGTATTGAGATGGATGTATGATTTTTGGTCCCTCTTACATAACGGTATGCTATTTCCCAGTTCTTGTCAGAGCTTTTTGGTGTGAAGGAAAAGTCAACGAAGCTGTGGAAGCAGTTAGAGATATGGAACAAAGGGGAGTGGTTGGAACAGGCAGTGTATATTATGAGTTAGCTTGCTGCCTTTGCAACAATGGTAGGTGGCAGGATGCTCTGGTAGAGGTAAGTTTCTTTGTCTATGGAGTTTGGATCTACTGTGACTGGCTTTATTTGTTTAGGTGTGGTATACTAACCATGTCTGATTCAATCTGTAAAGAGTCTTCGGTTGCTTGCATCAGTCCTGTCCTGTTTTCTTTTCAATCACTTCCTGCCATATGGTTGATTTATTGCAATATAGGAGCTTTTGTCGTACAAGTCATACATGTTTGTATCACCTATCAATGCTCTCCAGAGCATCAAGAATTAAAGCATGGACAATCAATTTATAACATAGTTGTCATGAACATAGTTGATGGCCATTCTTTAAGCTGACTTTGTTACATTTAGTATTTTAAGGAGCTGCCTAGGAAACCTACCCGTCAAACTCATTTGTTATTCCTGTGTACCTAATTTGAATATTCTTAAGTGGACTTGCCCCTGTAACAAATTTGTTCTAATTTTCTTATTAAAGGACGTATGTTTATAATAGTGATCATTTTGTGAGTCACAAAGAGAGGTTTTTGGTGCTTAATTAGAAATATGTCGTTCTACATCGTAAGCAATGTCTACCTTGTTAACAAGTTTTCATTTGTGGAATGAGGCGTTCAAACTTTATTGAGGTAGATATTGGCATAAAGAAATGGCATTAGATAACTTGTATTATTTGAAGGTTATTGTAAAGGCATGAATTTGCAGTTGTCCAAAACAGAATTCAGTATTTTTGTTTCTTTTGATTTACTTGTTTCTTGTGCTGAACTTGGATAATAATGGATGTTGTGATAATTGTCAAAAGGTTAGGCCACTGACATTTCCATTTTTTTGGGTCAAATAGTTTCTTTTATGTTAGGTCGTGACCTATCTTTCTGTTATACTTATGGTGGACCTATCTGCCTGCAGGTAGAGA